CTCCAAACTCTTGGGCTGTTTTTACCGGTGTTTTTTTTGTTCCTTCCGCCTTCCCCCCCCCCCCCCCATCTCATTTTTTTTCCCTTCCAGCCATCGTCCCCTTATTATAATTTGATACAGTACTCTGAACAGCCAGCTTCTTTAGCAATGACCTTTTGTAGTATTCCTTAATTTTGGAAGGAGCAATAGACCGCCTGCTGAACAACTGTCAAGTCAGCAGTTTGGCCATGACTGTACAGGCCATAACTTTTTTGTGCTAAAAAAAAAAAACAAATGGACTATGACAATTTCAAGTTTTCCATTACCTGTAAAACAAAGCCATCAAAATGACAAGAAATAAATGCTTCAAATACATCACTCGGTGTATAATGAAACTATACAGTACAAGGTTCACTTTTTAACCCGAGTTACTGAAATAAGTTAACTTGGATGCTATTCCGTTTCATTCAGACACACCTGTAGTATGCAAGGCAGAATTATTATATTACTCTGAATCTCTTCAGTACTCCTTTCACATTGGTCCTGCTGGGCAAATCAGCATTTATTAACGTCACTGAAGCACTCTGACAAATAGCGGTGAGAATTATACAGAATAATACGTTTCAAACTGCAACATATCTGTTCTCAAATTACGAGAAATAAACAGATTCATTTATTTGTGATAAACCTAAATATTAAGTACTGCGTTCCACTGTATTAGAGAAATATCCTTTACCACTCTCTCAGTTGTGCCTCTAGAGAGAATTTGAAAGGTTTTCAATTTAAAACCTGTGTACACAACACTGTCAAAGTACACAGTTTATCATCTGCCTGTGGGGAAAAAAATAGTCCTTTTCACCATGCGTTTTGTTCTGAAGACATCTCTCAGTTTCAATATCCATCAGTGTTAGAGAGGAAGCCTGTGCAGCATCCCAAGACACAGAAGGAGCTCTGTGCTGACAGTTCACATCATCTCTCTGTGTACATCATCATGCTGCCTTCACCCACCCTCACCTGCTTTTGCTTTCCCTTTCCAATGTTTTTAAACCCACAGAGCATCCAATTACCACAACTGTCAATTGTAAGCAGTTTGGAGGCTTTAAATAACAGCTCAGGGTTTTTGTTTATTTAATAATGACAATCTAATGTATTTTTATTTTCAGCGTGAGCAAGTTTATTCCAGAGATCAGAGGGATCATCTCCAGAGTAGAGGAGAGGACTGAGGCTCACCTGTTTGCAGAATCTTAAGAAGCCGATGGAGTAGCTCATTCCAACCAGACAACACGTCCCATATAAACAACTTGACCTGTGTAGACAGCACGGAGAGATGGACTGATTTTGCATTGCCAAACAGGAAACCTACCAGAATGCAAATACTAAGTGCAAATTATCACATAAACGAAAGCACATATACTGACAATGTACCAAGCAGCAAAAATTGTTACTTTTAATTCACTTTTAATTAGATTATATTGTTAGTGCAGTTCTGCGTTTCATGCATTCATTTTGATTACTGTATTGCTTAACTTGCTTATTTACCGTCAACAACGACCCGAAGTCATCTAACTATTTCAATAATCATTTATCGCCTACGCATTTGACAATTTTCCCTTCACTAGCGCACATTAAGCTTCAAACATTTTATTGCAACACGATTTACATAAGAGAATAACAAATGTTTGAGTAGCAAAAAACTAATTTAACAATCTGCATAAAATTAACAGGATATCTGTTGAGCTACAACACCTGTCTCTACCAAAATGGAAGTGTTACTCATTCATTTAGAGATGTAGTCGATTTTTATTATCACTTCTTGAGGAGCTGTTAAAGCTTTTATTGTGGCCTCAAGTCTAGGAAAGATTAAGAAAATTAGTCTGCCGAAGTGCAAATAAACCTCTTATTGTGGGTTTTCTTTATCTAGGCAGCAAATCAGCCTGGCATATCTAAAACAGGACTGAGCACATAAAAATGATAAAAGTAGAAAAAAGGTAAGAAAAAGTCCTTTGCATTACCAGAAATAAAAATGTAAATCAATATATCTTTTTAAATTACCATAACATCCACCTTGCAGGATTATTTAGAGATGGGATGCAGGTTATTGGTGTTTAAACAAAAATGGGGCTGCATAAAACAATTGTAAAATAATATTTTGATTCTGTTTGGATGCTTAAATTAAATCAAATGTATTAATGTGTCTTACCGGTAGCAGAGTTCAGCTCTGTGTAACTATATGTGAAGTACAATAAAAATAATAATAATAAAAAAACAAAAAAAAACAACTAAGAAACTTCCACTTAAGGTGCTAAGTCCTTAGCAGTGCTACTGCCAAACTAAAATTCACCAAGGTTAATCTAAAAGTAACTTCCTTTATGATGACAAAGGTTTTGTCATGATATATAATTATTCATAATATACCTTAAATTTTTTTAGGACTCAAAATATAGATACTGCTGGTAAAATGCCTGATTTCTGTGATGCAAAAATTTGGACTGATGAATAATTTCTAAACCTTTTCCACATATGTGACATTTATTTTTTTTTTAACTATTTAATAAACAGCGTATAAGATTAAAAAAAAAAAAGTTGCCATAACTTGGTTATAAAGGTGTGCACCATGTTCAGATTCATTTACAGCATTTGGTGTCAAGAATTCACACCTACAATCAATTATAATAACTAAACTAAAGCTTCAATTGTCTTGAAGGTTGACATTAGCCCACCTGCATTTTTTACGTAAAGTCATCATTTGCAAAGTGGTTATAAGTATCAACATTATTTTGTACAAAATGTCCCATGGCATTATATACTGTAGTTGCACAATGGTGCTTTGAAGCAGGTGGGAAATCTGGAAAAACAAGGAAATTAAAAAATCTAAACTGACTAAAAGATGAGTAAGAAACTGGTTAAGGAGGCTGCCAAGAGTTCCAGGGATTTCTAATAAGTAGTGTTGGTCTGCATGTGACAGCCATCTCCTGTATTCTTAATGTCTGGACTCAGAAGCAGAGTTCAAAGACAAAAAGTATTTTCTTCCAAAGAAAATATGCAGCCCTCAAAATCTTCCAAACCAAAATCTTCCTAACCCAAATGTGTGAATGCCTGAAGGAAGTAAACTTCAATTTCAGGATGATAATCTCAAAGTGCATGGATAACTTTTGCAAGGTAGAGCAATTTAATTCAAGGGTGTGAACATTTATGCTGTGTTAACTGTATTTGCTTTTCTACTTTCATTATAAAAGATTTTGTCACATTTCCCAAGGGAAAAAAAAAAAAAAAAAAAAAAAAACTTTCAAAAAGATTTAAAATAGCTTAAATTTCAGAAACATTGCATTTTAACAGGGGTTTGTAGAGCCTCTGTCTATAGTATTGATTTAGTCAAGCTGACCACTGAGCACTATGAGTCACATTCACCCATCCACACTCCCAAATTGCAACACAACTATTCTTCCCGCTGAGTCACAACCACCCGCCTCCAAAAGTTTTCAGTTGTTCCACTTGAAACACAGCTTTTTAAATCCCAATAAACTTAAAGTTTATCATCACTTCTATCCCTAGCCAAATCTAAATGAATAAATGGGATAAATGAATTAATTTATTTGCAGGAAATTCCTGACTGGTTTGACTGTAGACACATTGACATTATTATTATTTTTCTTACACATTTCATATGAATCAGGTGAAACAACAAATGTTTCTAACAAAGAAAGTCTAAAACTAAAGATCTGAACATTATAGTTCTGTCTTTAGAACCTGGCAAAGAGTCTGTGCCCAAAACACAGAGTATAAAGGGCATTTCAAACGCTGAAAGATAAACAACTGCCACCTATGAGAGTTGTTTACTACTAAGACTTTCAGAGTGAACTTCAAACTAAATGTTAATCTAAAGGCCAGAAAGACAATTCTGCAGCTTATATAGCCATAGAAATATTTGCACAAACCCAGCTGGTGCATTTATTTGTCCTGAATTAGCATTTTGAATATAAAATGAAAAGGAAATGCATGTAATAGGTAAAGTGATTCAGTCTTTACTTACTGTATAGGCTTCCCTCTAATCTCAGACATGATTGCACTCTCTCCTCCAAGATACTCGAAGGACAGGCTCAGGAAATTGTAAATAACAAAAGCTGAAACACAAAGAAATGTTCTTCCTTTAATAAAATATCTGTATTTTGCACCACTGCAGCTTCAGAACTGTTTCCCATCCCCTTCAAGTCTCACTTTTCTGTGAAGGTCACAGAACATGAGATGAAAATAAACTCCCACATAACAAAAAAATAATAATCATCATTAGTTTGACTTTATAGAACAATGAATGCTTCAGTACTGACATTAAGGCTTTTCCAATGGTTCTGCGTCTCAAAAATCCCTTCTTAATCCTTTGTTGCTATTTGAGGGAGGATTAAATGAAGCAAATGCAGATTGTGTCCGGTGTAGAGAAGGTTCATTATGCTTTAGCTGCAAATAGTGTCAGTGCTTTCTGGTGCAGTCACAATATGGGGCTTTTAGTAATCTCCACAATCTAATCTTACAAATAGCTTTTATTTAAATTAGAATGACAATCACCTTTGCAACTTAGAAAATACTTATATATTTCAGTCTACAAATAATGATTAAGATGTACAATAGTACATCTTAATCATGATAAAGTGCTACACGTCACACTTTATCAAAACTAACAAAAGCAAAGCCTGTTACAGTCCAAGAAAAAAAAGGGATGGTACTAAAATTACTCCTCCAAGAAATGCAACACCTCCTATAATGAAGTCTTTGGTTATGAGAACAATGGCTGGAGGAAGAAAAACTAGTTTGGTCACTTTCGTGGCTCTCTGATATCTGCAATGACAATGAAGGCAAGAAAACAACCATCTCTGCACAAAAAAAAAGAAAAAGAAATAAAGAAGACATCTACCAGATACCAGATCACACTTTTAGTGGTATACATACCTTCATAACAGTCTCGAACGGAATCGAAATAAACATAGTACTGGTTGTTGCTGATGAATAGGAGGCTGAGCCAGGAGTCAAAGGCATAAACTGGCACAATGAACAGTATGCGGATGATGTAGCGCTGCTCATTGGGGACAGTGTAGGACCGGAGGTGTGTGTAGATCTGGAATAAAAAACACAAAACATAAGGCATCAGTTAGAAACAAGAATATAGTTAGAAAACCACATAATTTGCTTAGGAATTTTACAATGTGTGAACTTTGCTTCTGAACATGGAGTAAAGCACGGCAATAAAATCGGACCACTGCATTTCTGAAACCAGAAAAGCATTGTAAAAAAACAACAGATAAGAACAAGTGCTGCCTTAGTCAGTCTGTCTTAGCTGGGGTTTGCATTCGATAGTCACGCCGTCATTAACTGATAATGCAATTAAATCAACCGACGTCCTGACAAAGCTGCCTTGTCAGCAAGCTTGAAAACTTTCGTCTCCAGTATACTTTCTGTGACAATTGAAAAAATAAATAAAATTAAACATGTGGTGTTTTAGTGTTGATGATTTTTCGTAAAATGAAGTTTAATTTAGATCTTTTGTTGCTTAAATGTAGTTGTGAAGCTCTTTGCATCCTGATAAGGCATTACACATTCAAGCTTCTTCAAAAATGACATTCTACCATGACATTCGTAATTTCTACCAACCTTGGGGGGCTTTGTCAACCTGCTTTGTCAACCAGTTAGTTAAAGCCTTATCTACTTTATTGAACTTCTCTGCTTTGCAATAAGGAAATGCAGTTATGCAACTAATGATGTCGATCAATAGGAATTTGCTTGGACAATTTGAAATGATAATGGACCAAATAAGAATCGACTGTCCCAAAGAAGAATCAGAACCAAATGAAAGGAAATATAAAATCTTTATAAACCCATATAGAGTAATTGTTAGTTATGCAATTATTCATCTGTTAATCTTATCAAATGATGGTTAAGCACATGGGTACAAAACAGTTTGTTTACAAGTATGAAGTGAAATAAGATTGAGATGATATGGCAAATAGGGGTACAACTTTGTGACAAGGGGAATTGGCCTTTTAAAAATAGCTAAAGGCAAAATAAAAAAAAGACATTTTATTATACCAATTCAAAACGAACAGAGAGCTTTAACTTTATAGGATATCAGACATGGGTGTAATTTCCCATCATTAAACATCAGCAAAGTTAAGCATCAATATTCAAAAGCCTGCAGGCCCAATTTAGATCTTGCATCACTTGTAATTTTTATCCAGTAAATTATGTCAATTGCACATAAGAAATGAACACTTCATTTTAAAATTTTAATTGCATTTATATGCACACGGAAATTATGTGTTCCTTTGTTTTCGTCTGACTTTGCATGAGATTAAAGGACGGACTCCTCTCGTTTATATGCGGCATACATAAATGGTTAATTCTAGTTATTGGGATTCTTTAAATGATTTATAGCTCTCGGTTTCAAAGCCATTGTACGAGACATCACTGTCAATATTTCTGTAAAGAAAAAAAAAAGACAAGCAGCACCCTCATTGAAAATCTCTGCACCTTTTTCTGTTGTGTTCACATCAATGCCTCTTCTGTTGAATTGAGTCAAATAAATACCTGCAGCTACTGGCGAGTTATATGCCGCATTTCCATGTCAACTTCTTACTGCGCTCAGAAGCCAGATGTCATGTTTTTTTAGTTTTTTTTTTTTTTTGGAGTATTGTATACAGAGAACATGATGCTACATCATTATCAAAAACAAGATTGTGACTTAGCCAATGTTTACATTTATAAAGCTATGGATTTTATCAGGAAGGTATAATTTATAGCCACAGATTAACTTGCACCCACTGTTTGTCTGCTATTATGAAATGAAGCTTTAACATTGTCTTGAATAAACAGATTACCCAACTCACATTTTAACAACCTGCCCAATACTCATGCTTTAAACTTGCAGGGCACACCTTGTTTACAACAAGAGTGCTTCCAATTGAATTTTCACACAGGAGTAGAGAATGTAGCATACCAATGTTGTTCCCTTGGGCTGATTAAGGTTTTAACACACATGACTCTCCTACGTGGCCCCCTATGGCCTCCATGAATGTAACATGGCACATCTGACAAGTTTGGGAAATACACACAGCAAATGTCAAGCAATGCTGAAATTAATCTTAACAGTGACCTCTGGGTTCTACAAAATGTCTAAAATAACTAACACTCAAGAAATAAATTTCAGAAATTAAAATACAAACAAAAGTGTTTGTTATATTCTAATGAAATGGTAATACTGGTATTCAACTAGAAAACATAAAGTAGGATGTATGAAAGAAAATTTATAAAATTATTCAGACACGCAGGGATTTACCTAAATTATTCCACTTTGACACCAAAGCTTTTAAAACTTCTCTGTATAAGAGTTACGATCACAAATGGGAATAAGACAGCCACAACGTTAACAGATTACAAATATCCGAGTTATGCCAAATTAAATTAAAAACATATCTGACTAATGTACTAATATTTCTTCATCTGAAGATTAATGAAGTTGTAAATAAAAGTCAATGTGCTCACAAACTGCTTTGGGAAGAGTATTATATATTTAGGAAACGGGTTGTTAATTTTTTTGTATTAATTTAATGCAAATCGTTGTATTAATCAGATTGTTTTCTCTAAATGCATGAAAAAAAATATTTCATGAACAGAAGCTGCTTGATTAAACTTCCATTAGAAGCTGCCCATTAAATCCCGATCACTGCGAGACTGGGAATGTGATGAATCCTGTGGACCGACTCCACTTGGCAAACAATCCAGAACAGAACCAGAGTTCCCTCTGACTGCAAAACGCTGACCACTGACGACAGCAGTGCAATCGTTTTCAGCTTGGACTTATTTCTGCAATTTCCCACCTGACAGCGGAGAGGCAATGCACAGGCAACAGCTCCTTTTCATATCAGCTCCTTTTCATTTCCAACACTTTAAGTTCCAAAAGAGCCAATAGGACCACCTGGACAAACGCTTAAATATCAGTATGAACTGAATTGTCAACATCGCAGAAAAACGATTTAAGGTCAAAGAGTGTTTAGTATTCAGAAAGAGCATTTAGCAGTTTATAGCCATTCTCTGAAGCCAAGTCAGATGAAACACTGCCAGCATTATATCGCTGGTCCAACAGACCGTTTTATTCCCCCAGTGTGACACAAGAGATGCCTGTTGCAAACTCACTCTATTCCCCCAGCAGAAAACTTGCTATTTATTTGTTCAATTAAAATGTCTTGCTAGCAAGTGTTTGGCCAAACACGTACTATATTAAAAACATAGAAACCAATTTGCAGGATATTGAGTTACAAATCCCTAAACGAGGGGTGTTGGTGCTGCTGTTGTTGTGTCTCCCTGATGCGCAGATTACTCATTAATTATTTCCACAACACAGCATACAAATACATGTTAACAAGGATTAAAGAAATTCTGTGTGGCTGCTTACTAAATGTTTTTGTGTTTTATTGTAAAACAAAAGACGGATATTATGGCTGAATACGAACAAAAAATAAAATAATAATAAAAAATGTGACCTGGAAAACAACAAGCTCAAACAGCTGTGAACATTATCCCAGTGTCTACTGATTTCCCTGCTGATAAAACACAGCACTCCTTTATATTCACAGCAAATGATAAAATTGTAATGATAAGCTATCATCTCTGCACAGTGGGCAACGTTCGCTCACATGAGGAAACACTAATTTTACAACAATGATGAGATAGCAGCGGGTAAAGGTGGTCCACAGTAAACCATTTATTTCTCCTGGCCATCAACTTCTGCCATGCAGAGAGGGCTTGCTGTGTTTCCGTTTCTTTGTAATCAACTAGGAATTTTTTTTTTTTTTTTTTAGTAACTTAAGGTCACTTTTGTGTTTAGAACAAGCAAACTTTGAAGACATATGAGAGTGAAAAGAAGCTAACTGTGCTCTGTACAGTTTGTGTAGATCAAGTTTACTGTAAAGCATATTTATGAAATGCAACACAATACAATACAGAAACCAAGTCGCTGTCCGAGTGGCATCTCAATGTTTTGCCATGATTTTTCAGAAGGCTTACGGGAAAAGCATTGAAAGCAAATGTGCTTTCTTTCAAAACCGTATTTGTGAGGTCAGACACTGAAGTTGGACGAGAAGGTTTGACTCAGTCTAATTCATTCCAAATGGTGGTTGAGGTCAGAATCAAGTTCTTTTGTTATAAACCAACTCCTCCATGTCTTTTTAGGACAACACTTTGTGCACTGGTATAAAGCCATGCAGAAACAGGAAGAGGCCTTCCCCAAACCATTTCCACAACATTACGAGCAATATGTTGTTTTTTTTTGTCCAAAAAATATAAGCACAAGCCCGTGGTGAAGAATGAAGAATTCCATTTTACTGGAACTAAATGCGCGAGTCAAACTCCTGAAAAACAGCCCCATGCTAGAATTGCCTCTGCAAAAAATGTTGCAGCTTACACAATGCAGTGAGGAGAGTTTTGGTCTCCTGGCAACTGATAGCCCCAGACTCAGAGAAACACAATTTGTCACTAAAGAGCCCACTGCATCCAATGCTTTACATTACACCTTTTGATGCAAGTGCTTTGTTCTAGCTGTTCGGCCATGGAAACCTATTCCATTATACTCTTTCCACTGTTCTTGAGCTAATCTGAAGGCCGCAATAAGCTTGGAGTGTGTTGCTATTGATTCAGCAGAAATATGGCAACCTCTTTTCTTTATATGCCTCAGCATCCAGTGTAGCCACTCAGGGATTTTACATGGCCTACCGCTTTGTGGCCGACGTCCTGGCATTTCTAATCATTTCCACTTTGTTATTATATTACCAACTGTTCACTGTTGAACATTTAGTAGCAAGGAGATTTTATGGTGTAGACAGATGGCATCTTATCAAGGTACACGCTTGAATTAACCAAGTTTCTGAGAGGGATCAAAGGTGTTCCATCTTAAAACTGGAAATATTTCTTTAAAAATATATAATGTACAAAAAAAAAAAACTTAAAGCATATGACTTTATACCATAAATTAGTGAAATAAAATGTATACATTTGCAATAAGTATAATCTTCAAGGGCTGCATAGTGGCAGAGTTGCATGTTTTCCTGTGTGTGCATGAGGTCTCTCAGAATACTCTGGATTCCTCCCACACAAAAAAAACAAAAAAAAAACAAACAAACAAACATACATTTTACTTTTAATGGCCACTCTAAGTTGCCCTTAGGTGCAATTAGGTGTGGGCATGCACTGCAATTTTTAAACAATACAAGGTTTATTCAGGTGTAGCAAATGGATGTCCCCTTCAAGTTAATGTGTTTGGAACACATCGACAATAAAGCCAGACTTGCTAAAGTTAAGGTTTGAATATATACAAAATATATATATAAATGAATAAATGTTTCTGTCAAGTCCTTATCAAGTACACCAAAGTGTACTTGTGCCAAAGTGCCATTTTTTTTTTAATGTAGCTGTTGATTATTTGTGAGATGTCCCTTTGCCTTTTTACCGTTACCAGTGCTTTTTCAGCTTGGATATGGAAGCAGAGTGCAAAGCAGTGAAAACTAACCACAGTAATTAGGCACATTAATATCAGAGATTCAAATGGGAAGCTGCAGCTCCCATTTGTGCTCCAATCGCTAGATTGGTAATGATGCTATTAGTTATGCAATTCCCTCAAAAAAAAAAAATAAATAAAATATTTGCCATCAAAGGTTGCCGTTTTTGGAAACTCCTATTGATGACCGAATGGAAATACACCAAGTCTCACTTATCGTCTCACAGATTACAGCAATGCTTTATCAGATAAAGTTGGTTGTTTTGGAAAACAACAACTTTTCTGCTCTTCTGAAAATTTTGCACCTAAAACAATAACATAGTTCATCATCGAAGGTTTGTGCCTTGGTGCAGCCTTCAGTATAGCAACACCCTTGAAGGCAATAACAAAAACAGCCACCGGTAAAATAAATAGCAGTATGAAAGCAGAAGTGGCCTTAAACCTCAGATTCATGGTGCAAACCTAGAAAATAAAATGCTTCAACCCTTTATTGCAGAATTCAAAGTATGCATTTCTTACTTAAGGCAAAGGAGGAGTCCCCTAGCATCTCTGATTACATTTTCACATAATTGTGGCTGCAGAGCTTTAAGGGTGTGTTTCCCTCTGCTGTTGTTTGATGATGAGATTTTTGTTTTTCTGGCTATGGGGTGTGTGAAACATAATTTAGTAGAGCACCACAAACTCACCTGGTGGCATGTTATGAGCAAGGCGGACCAGACAAATATCCCAGACAGGGCCTGAGCAGTCACTGTGTTCAGAAACATCTGATCCGTGAGTGACCCGTTCCTTGTCCGAATGATGGTTATGTTTTCCGGAAGGATTGGCTCATCCAGGTGAACAATCGAATTATTTTCGGACGATGAATCCATGTCCAAAGAGCCGTTCATCTAAAAGACGAGAGTAAAGAAAGTCACCGTGAAGTGAGTTTATTCTAGCAGCGATAGATTTTACAGATGACATTATTTGAAAAAAAAAAAAAAAAAAAAAAAACATCTCAGACGCTGATCGGAAAATGTCCCTCATTTGATCTCTCTCTGCTGTCAACAAGCGGCTCACCTTGTTCCGAGTGGAAAGCAGCTTTATCCTGTTTAGATGGCAGTGATCGTCCCGGGTCAGGGTTAAAGGATCAGCATAGAGCACAAAACACCCGTTTGTCAGCCGTGAGCATCTACAAAACCCGTTTTAATTTCATATACGAGACGCGTTGAGCAGGAATAGACTTCCTTGTTTTTAACAGGTGCCTCAGTAGCGGAGGTCGAAGTCCACACAGAAGGAGATGAAAAACTTAAGCAAAGGTTACAACAAAGAAGGAACTACAACAGAGTGCTGTTCAGCACACCAAGATAAACATCTAAAAGCTTTCTAAGAAACACTTAAAAACTTAAATCTGTGTGTGCGCAGCGTTTCGACTCAGCAGAAGAAGTAAATAGGCTGGGCACAGGTAAAGGAATCACGTGGTCTCGACTAAACGGATGTCGTCATCACGTTGACTAACAACGTGCAATCAGTTTTATTAGCCTTATTGGCGTGTCAGGTGCGAAGCCGTTTTATCTTTACATTTTATACATTACCAGCATTTCCGGTTAACATGAATGAGAACATATTTGAGCTGGGGTGGAACTACTTAGCATTACTCAGTTACAGTCACTATATATACTTTATAAGGAAAATACTTATATGTGGTAGTTTCACTGGACCATATATTAATATTATTAGTGTTAATCTCTTACTTGAGTATTTCTGCCTTCTCTAAACATCTCATTAAACTTAGAACAAGGATGGTTTAAACGAAATATCCATGACACACTTAAAGTTTATGTTAAAGCGGGTTGTTTGTACACAAACTGTTCTGTTATTTTCTGTATGCGTGTATGTGCAGGTCCAGTGAATATACAGTTAAAACAATAGAACTGAAATTACTTCCCCCTATCCTACCATACATACACCACCTTTTGTAAGTATTCCCTCTACAGCTTCAAGTCAGGACTGTTTGGGCCACTCAAAAATAATAAAACTGCTTCCAGGCAGAAGAAACAAGTTGAGTTTAAAAATTACTGCCAGATAATCTGTTGCTTACCTGAAGCTGCCAAAAATATACAGCTTTAATTAGATCAATAAATTGGTTCGCATTGGCTTTATGTATAAACTTGCAACATTAATCTTTGCTATCATTTACTTGCAAAAAAATTATATTGTCACTGTTTGCATGGTGAGCCTTATTTCAATTCAGTTCTGAATTTAACTGAATTTATTGGGACTACTTGACAGCTTTGAAACACATTCAGGTTTTATAGCAAAGCCTCACACTAAAAAAGCTAGGGCAAAACTAAGCTTTAATTTGAGTACCTAAAAGTAATTTTGAAAAAAAAAATAGGCACTTAATTCAATTATACTTTATTTTACTTTTCAAGTTCAGCCATTTCTAGGAATGTCTAATAAATAATCTACACCTCTGTTTTTCCATGGGGTATAAGTATGACAGAACTAATGGGTCCATTTCTTTTAGCCAAATGGCCAGTAGGCTGGATGACAACCCCTGGTTATCTTGTAACCAAACAGTCAGGATGGCTGGGGAGGTAAAATTAAAATCTTCAAAACGCCCTGCAAGAAAAACAAAAAAACAAAAAAAAAACAACAACAAAGACTGACATGTTGGAGTCGGACAGTTTTTAAGTGACCCCCCAAATCCACTCTAAAAAACGTTTTCTGTCTTACTTATCATCACAGATTGTGGAGTTTGCTAAACCCAGCTAGGACTTTGACTGGAACAATGTGCTCTGGTTTGGTGTGGCAAAGATTTTTGGCATAAGCTCCAGGTATCCTTAGCATGAAACAAAGAGGAAAAATGTAAAAAGGCATACCAACAGTGGAAAAAAATGTGATGTGGTATATCTTCTAAATTGCTTTGGAACCTTGTTAAGAGTTCATGGCATTATATTACTACTACCAAGACCATTTTAAATAAAATTCTGAGTGACAGTAAACTGAAAATGGTTCAACAACTGGTCTTTTCAACTTCTGTTTTGTTCTACTGTTCAAAATATGGACAGCGGGGCTACCAATGTTGGAACTTTCTAAATTTATCAGTGCAAGATTATGCTATGGCCATTAAAGATCTCATAAACATACTTTAAAAATCAACTCGTTCCTCATGAAGTAATGCAACATGTTAATTAAACCAAGATGAGCACACGTTGGATCAACATCTGTCTCGCACCAAAAAGGTTCCAGTCATTTCCAAGCTCACTAAAAGCCTTCAATTCTCACAGACTATTATTATTAGAGAAATAAAACAATCCTCCCCCACATCTAGTAATAAAGCAATATCCAGCTTTGAGAAAATGAGAAATGACTGTTGACCTTTACTTCATGTTTCTGTGATAAGAATGCTGCAATAAAAAGACGTCACCAAACATTGCGCAGTCCAATGTGTATGGAAGGAATTAGTCATTTATAACAGGCAGATAAAGCAACCAAAAAAGTCACTAGACTTAAAATAGTATGTTGAACTTGTCATTAAAGAATTTTATTTCTGAACATTTCAAGTAATACAAAACTTAGCTGAAGGATTTCGAAATACAAAAAAGTAATATTTTATATCATTTTACAAAATATGACACCGGTAGGAGCAGCTACCGTTATTTCACCAGGTCTTTTTAGTTACAGTCATTATTTTGGGGACTCTGACTTTCTACCACACTTTGCAGCTTTTGATGATCTCTTTGATTTCTCGTATTGTGTCTATGGAGGAATCCTTCAGGGCCAGTCCCAGTAAGATAGGCCTGTTTCCAGCTTCGAGGGATATGAACGTGGCCAGGTTTTTAGCACAGACATGAGTCAAAGGCTGTTGAAAAGAGGAAAAAAGAAAAATAAAACACAAATTAGATATAAAGCTCTTAATATTGCATGCCAGAGCTCTAAATCCATACACCCGGTAAATAAGAAATCAACTCAAAACCACTTTCCAATTGTAACTTGAGAGAAAGCCTAATCAAATAACATGTCACTGCTGCTAAAAATGTGCTACATTATTCTCTGTCTTCAACAATATATCATAATTCACTCAATAAACACCAAGTCAAAGGAAAATTGCTGTTTGAAGCTGTTTTGCACTCATACATCTCCAAATAGAACAATCATTTATCTTTATTCTGTTTTAATTAAATTGTTCATGTGTCTTCAAGATGCTGTGTAATGCATATAACTAGGAGATTACAAAGGATAAATGTCCTTATCTTCTTCTGTCTTTCCAAGACAGAGTAATTATTTTTAAATAAATCAAAAGTCTAATCAACATCTTGCGCAAACTTTGTAACAATTTATATTTCTACAGATGACACACCTTATGCACTGTGTGCCTGTTAAAATGACAAGCTCAAGCAGAGATGAAATGAGTTTTCTTGAGTAAATTTTAAAAGACCGCTGAACTCCGTGCATCTCATTTCTCTACAATCTGCCAAAGTAGTTCAGAGCTGATCTCATCTGGCCTTTCGCCACGTGAAATGAGTTACCCCATGTGACAAGAAGTCTATAATCACACTGATGCAATATTAATCTGACCAATTTCACCCAGCGTACCTCATCTTTGCCCAGCAGCACTTTAGTGGAGAATGTGGGGGTGCTGATATCATTAGATCGGGAGTCGGGTGTGACCGAAATCAATGTCCCGATTTTGCCGTACTGGGTAAGGACCACAAATATGTAATTACTGAACTGTGTGCAGACGACTTCTGTTGAGATCCCATTCACTTCTTTTTGTGCTTGTCTCGATTTGATGATGGGCTCAGCCATTTTGTTAATCCTGGAGAGAGAAGCAAATAAAACAAAAAAAAAAACACTAAATGAATTATTATTTCTGAAAGGTAGCTGGGTCTTATTATTGAACATTTGATCCTACACAAACAGATTTAAGTTTACTGACAATGAGTTATTATATTTTAAACTAATTAAACAGTCTGCTAGTTAATGTCATCAAGCATCTAGATTCCAAAAGTGTTTTGATTGCAAGAACCTATTCATTTAATTTATTTCAGCTTTAGAACTAAACTATAATGTTTCATTTAGAAATGCTGAATAAACACCAGTCAAATGTATAATTTTAAATACTTAAAAAGGCAGAACTCTCATTAATGACAGATTGTTTAACATTGCACAATATCTAAAAATCATTTTGAACATGAGCAGTTTTACTTTCAGATAGCCAACAGTTTGAGCCAGAGTGACTTTTTTTGGTATACTTGCATATTCAATACATGTATTTAATACTCCTTTAACTTTTCCTTTAGTATGAAAGTGGGAAATTGTCTGTACTTGTATATGACTTTATCTAGTCCGGAAGACAAGAATGTACAGCTTAAATTCAGAATTGTATGTATATTTTGAATAATAAGGTTAAATTAATTTCTTTTCAGATCAGATTATTCTCTGTTTTAGTATTTAATGGGAAAAACATATTTTATCCGTGATTCTTGAGAATAGGGACAAAACAGGTCCTATGGATAAAGCACAAAATTTGAATAAAATATACACAAAATATATTTTTTTCAAATATCTGACTCAACTAACCTGGGTCATGTGAGCACAATAATGTATATTTCCCTGGTATTTGCTGAATTCTTTTTTATTTTAAACATTGTAGTAGGTGGCTGGTGTCTTTAAAATCCCTTGTCCAGGAGCACAACTCAATACATTATAATAGTTTAAAACAATTAAAGAAATACTAAAATTATTTATTATGACAATTAAGTATAAGTAGTCATATAAATAATTATAAAAGTATCAATAAATTGAATTAAAAATCATTTTTACATATTTTCCAACTCCATTGAAATTTGTACCTAGTTTTTGTCAACACCGTCAGAAATGAAAATAATGTAACAAAATCAGGCATTATTGGGGGGCACCAGAACTTCTGAGGACCCCATGACGTCTCTTTTCTCTTTCTTTGCTAAGAGGGCTAGTTAGCTCTGGTTAGCTTATGTTATTCTTTAGTTTTTTCTTTTGTTTTATTTCTAAATTGCTCGTCACAACCATGATGTGTCAACACCATAACTGACAATTTACAAAACTTTGACTAAATTTTGTGAAATAAATCTTAATTTTGGTATATTGTAAAGATTTCATGGACCTGAACTACAATATATCTTCCTTCAGAATAACATATAAATTGAGGTAGTTTGGCATTTTGTCAACTCCGTCAGATGTCAACGCCATCAGAGTTTCTGAGACTCTTTCAGTGAAACTGTTGACAAATCTCACTTAAATGTGCAGTTAATTCATTTTAATGTATTTTACATAAATTGCATTACTTCACATGCATCAAGTATTTATTTTTACTCACTAGTTTGTCACTACCTTCAGTTCTGTGTCAACTCCATCACGCACTGTCAACTCCATCAGATGGACTTTTTGTTGCTTTTTGTTTAAAATATTTTTTTTTGTTTGTTTCTTGAGAAGCATTTGTCTGTAAAACTGAGTAAAAACATCACTAATAGGGTCATTAAAAATTATTTTATATTTATTTTTGTCAGATGGTGATGACAAAGTTCTGGGTTAGGTTGATTAAAAATTTAATTTTTTTAAAAATGTTGCAACTGGGAGCCTGCACCTTAGCATCTTCACATTTCCAAAACATTATTTGTCATAATTGCATACATAAGGTTGAGAAATAATAAAAACAAATTGGGGGAAATTAAAACCCATTTTGTCCCTATTCTCAAGAATCACTGTTATTACAATTTTTTATTTTTTATTTTTTTTGTGGGGGGGGAATAAAAATATTACAAGTCAAATAACTGACATGTTATTCTAACCACTAAAGGAACAGATCATTAATCAAGGAAGGATAAACTACGTGCTGCATAGTTAGTAAAGGAAAAAAAACAAACTTAGAGAACATTACATCTTTTTTTAAGACATTTTCCTAATCTATCTAGTATAATCATACCGGCTGATATCTTTGGACATTTTCAGACAACGGGGCATGAAGCAGACAGATTGTACAACTGAAATGGCTAAATAGACTACAACAACGTCAGAAGAGGATATACACTATATACTCAAATATATACTCAAATCCACAAGCGAGCAAGACAAGCGGATCATTTAAGGTATTTTGAGTAAAGACAAGCTTCATAAGAATGGCTGAAGCTGCAGCTTGGAAGCTAACGTTAGCTTCCCAGCTACGACGAGCTCCGGTAGAAAAACGAATATCGCTATTAAAAAGAAGTACAAACGTATAAAACTCTCACCATAAATTTCTGTCTA